CGTGACGAACCGTGCCACTAGGACCGGACAAATAAATCTATCAATAGGATTAGGTCCTAAAATGGGAAAAATCCGCGAGTTTTGGTCTAAACGATAATGAGTTTCGACCCGTAAAGGTTGAGTTCTACTAAAAACCCGTCATGGGCCCGCCTATCTTAAATCAGTTGAAAACCGACAAGTTTGATTCTTTAAAATCAAGATCGCTACTGACGGGTCGATGATGGGTTTTGCTAGAATCCGCGGGTATATGACCCGTGCAAATCCCTATTCATAAGTAATATTAGCTTGATCAGTTATGATTATTGTATATTTTGATTAAAAAAAAAAGGAAAAACAAAACTATCTACCGTTAAACCTCTATAAATTAATATAGTTGGGACCATCAAAATTTCATTAATTTAGCGAAATATTAAGTTATCGATAAATTAATAATTATATAATTTATATATTAATTAATAACTTATTAATTTATGAAATTACTTTTATTATCATTTTCAAAAATATATATTTTTTAATTTTTTTACGTGTATATCATTCATTCATTACACGATTAGATCAATGCATCTATAGCCCGTAGCACGAACGTAAGCTCTTAATGCCGCAATAGTATATAACTATTTTATGTTGAGTTATGAGAAAATTATACCGAAAGTTCTAACCGTATTAAGAAAAGTGAGGGACGAGATTGATGGTAATGTGAACTTCAACAAAAAACAAACGACAATTAAATTACCCTTTATAGATCTATAAAATATGTACTGTACCATGTAATTCAAGAATTATTTTTATGCATTATTAATTTATATATTATATGGGGCTTCTTAAAATTTTCGAATGTGTATTATCATTTAAATTTAGCGAATTATTAATTTAGAACGTTGTCCTCGAGTCGGGACCGAAAAAAAATATTATTTAAGCGAGATTATTAATTTACCGAGGTTCTGCTGTATATATCATTTGATCTTTCCTTGTGGATGAACGATGCTACACGGTCAGAAGAGAACAGTGCCCAGAGGCTGTGAAGAAGAAATCAAGGAAGTAATTTTCTCTAAAAAAAAAAAAGGAAGTAATAGTATAGAATAGAGTTTGTTATTCGTCCCACATCGGTTATAATAGTAAGAAACGCTAGAGAAATAGATTATAAAAGAAGAGGGCCTATTTTTGTAGAAGCTCATACCTTTCTCGGCCTTTTGGCTAAGATCAAGTGTAGTATCTGTTCTTATCAGTTTAATATCTGATATGTGGGCCATTGGCTCACACGATATTAAATTTATTTTTTTAGGGGGAAGATCCATTAAGGCAGCTTGCTGTCTGGGTCTTTGAGCGTTGCCCATGTGTTGCACTACTGCACGGGCCTGGCGCACCCCACCGAATCTAGTTGAATAATTTAACGTAGTTGACTCAGATTTTGTATTGAGCAATATATTTAATTAATTAATTAATTACAGCAAAATATAATTATGTTTAACAATATCTAATTTTCAGAACATATTCTAATCTACAAGTCTGCTGAAAATATTGAGCCAAACAATTTTACTAAGTCTCAATTGTCAGTGAGTATTCCAATCTACCGATTTGCCAAAATATTTCTTGCAAAATCAGTTACTAACTTAACTACAGTAAATTTCAATTTCTAACAAAAATACGATAACTTACATGTACTCGGTTATCAATAAGAAACATATCCTAAAACATGGTGTGTCATTGAATATGCTAGGCCTAAAAAATAAGCTTACCAGAAAATGTTGAAGGAAGTTGCATTCTCTCCATGTGAAATTTTACAAGTCAGATATTAAATACTAACTAGTAACAACCAACTGCGCAGATATTGGACAATCAAGAATTTGATGGATTTTGCTTTGTGCATATAATCGGAAAAGTACTAGATTGTTCTAAATAAATTAATTAACAAATAAATTAATTATGAGAGACTGAGCATGCAAGACTCTTCTTTAGCAGTAAACACATTAGCTTGAGTTAAGGATTACTGCGTTCATGCAATAGACACAGAGCATCTCTTTGCACATAGTTTCTGCGAAAACCAAACATAAATAGAAAGTTGTAAAGTCATGAGTATAAATCCAAGGGGAAATGTTAATATTCAATGTCACAGAAAGCAGCTGAGTGTTTTTTTTTTTATCAAATTGGCTATTCATTATTGTCCCACATCGATAAAGAGTTCTTATAATGGAAAAGAGAGGTGAATATAAAATGGGAAGCCCTTCGGGGTTTGTAAGGCACGCAGCCGCGCGGTGAACACATAGCGAACTATTCTTTCGCCTTTTACTAAAGAATACCGTGTGTTCTCCGCAATTCAAGCGGCATACGCCACTTTTTGTAGGGTGTCTCTCTATAATGAGTGACCCCACCCAACTCTAGTTTAATATATTAGTTGTGATTTGTGTCTAATTTTGTAGTTATATTTTGTTAAGTGTGCGTTGCATTAGGGGGCAATTTGCTATAGGTCCTCCTATAAGAGATTATATGAGTTAAAATCCATCTAATAAACTCTACTTTCCAGTAAATTTGTAATTTGTCAAAAACACCCCTATCAATATATGGTAAAATAAATCCTCAAAATCAAATCCCTTATTTTTCTCCTTATTATACTGCAAATCCGAAAGTTAGAATTGTAAATCTCTTGATATCGATTTCTTCCGTGTCTCTTCAAAACCTAAATCTCCACAAATTCTGAAGCCTTCCATGGGTTTGGGTGTCTGAGCGTTTGCAATTTATAAGGTCGTTTACTGTTTGCCTTCATTCCGTTTTCCTTCGTTCAATTTGTTGTTTCCCAATTTGCGTGTGTCGTTTTGTTGTTTAGAAATTGTTTGTTGTTCGGTAACAACTCAGGTTGTAAAAAACGCACCACCGCTACGAACGTCGCGCCACTGCCACATCCGTCGTGTCCGCTTATGACTCTGTAAAATGCAAATAGCAAACTAATAATTAAAACTTGAATATTTAAAACAACAAACTACCTATGAATTCGCCAAATGCAAATAACAAACCGAACAAGTAAAAAAACCAGCATCATCTAATTACAAACAATAAAATGAAAATATGATATGCAATATCTAAATGCAAATAATAAAAAGAAAAATACAAAACAAAAATATCATACATATCATAAAAATGCAAAAAACAACAATAAAATTATAAAAATATTCTATCAATGCAAAAATTGCAATTTGCAGTTTGCAACAAAATCTACTGTTATCGGTTGCAATTTTCTGTTTATGTTTAATGCTGCAATTTGATTTTGCTGTTTCATTTTTTTCTTTTTTTTCTATTTATTGAACCAAAATCAATTAGAAATACAAACATACATTATAAACTCACTACAGATAAATACAAAACGAGAAAAAAAAAAAACTCACTTTGTGCAAGCAATGAGCGATTTATGTTTGTTGTCCACTTTTAACTCTTTCACCGAAAAATCATCTAATAATTAATGTAAAGCTCCCATTTTTTTTTCTTCCCTACAACATATTCCAAAACAATTCGAATTTCAAAGGGAAAAAAAATCAAACAGATGTAATCGAGAAAGGGTATAGAGAAAGAAAGAAGTTGATCGGAAAAAAAATCGAAAAGGTGTTGATCGAAAAGAAGAAAAAAAATCAGAAGAAAAAAAAAGAGAGACACGAGATGGAGAGGAATAGAAAGGTAAGAGATTATATAGGAAGAAAAATACGTAAGATTAGAGAGAGAGGGAGTGATATATGAAATTTGTTTTCTTATTAATTGAGGGTGTTTATGTGCATATACTAATTGTTTTATTTTATTTATATTATTTTTTTGTGATAAATGACCTATGCCTATATTTATCTAGCAATTAAGATCTCTACATATATGAGTCCAGAATAAGGGGTGTCTAGTCAATTTCCCGTTGTATTTGGATGGATTTTAAATTCATAATAATAAATTACTTGAACTTGTTTGGATTGAAGAATTCAAGTTGATTATAAATCCCCACTACTCTTAGTTGTTTTTTGAGAGTAGTGGTGGATACAGTTAAACCTCTATAAATTGCACATACAGGTGAGACCAACAAAATTTTATTAATTTATTGGAATATTAAATTGCCAATAAATTAATAATTATTATTTTATACATCAACTAATAAATTATTAATTTATGAATTTATTTTTGTTAGTACATATTTTAATATTTAATCGACAAACTGTTAGATGGTGAAAGTAGCAAAGAACTACAAAATCTAATCAATGGGATGGATTATCGTAGTATAAGTTGTCGAATATCTCTTGAACTACCCTGAATAAAATAACATAACCTCATAGATATTGGTCGACAAACATATAATTCATGAGAACTGATAAAGAAGATGAAGTTGAACATGAGGAAAGCTCTTAACTCAACAATTATATTGCATTTGTTTTTTGTTGAGCAATTAATTTTGAATATTATTTTGTTATGTATTTATATATTTATCATAAATGTTTGTACTATACATAATACATTTGAAGTGTTAAATTATGATTTATTAATTTGAAGTGCACTATGTTCCGGAATCCGTAATCAGAACGGTTTCTTCACCGTGACTCACCGGAACGCCGAGAAAATAGTGGGATGGGCGAGACAGAGCCACGGAATGGCCCCGACGTGGCCGGAATGGCGCCGGAACATGAGAAAATAATTTGAAAAAAAACATATTTTGACTAAAAATAAGGGGAAAAAACCATAATTAATTTTTCTCTCAAATTACTTTTTGCTGTTTGGCTTGTGACTGGTACTACAAAGGAGCTGATGGAAATGGAATCTCAAATTGTTTTTGTTGTTTGTCCTTTTTAGTGTCCTAATATTCTTGTTTTTGCTGTTTGGCTTGTGATTTATGTGTTGTTTCTGGTTTCTTGAATTTTAATATTTTGTATTGTGAGCAATTTGATTTAATTTATTATTTTTCCTGGAACATGAAATTGTGGGAGCAGTACTTATAACTAAGCTTACTAAGGCAGTGACAACACATTTCTACCACTCTTCTTTTCCTCATTTTTTATTTTTTGAATAAACACTCAATAATAGCATAGACATAGCCATGCAGAAATGCACATGCACTCCTGTAGGCAATCACATCTGTCTCCCACAATCTCATTCAATAATAGAACCAATAATAATACATAGCCTGCACTGATATCAACTTTTATCTTCAACATAATATATAAAGAGGAATTGGAGAGACTTTGGAGAGGCAGAGAGCAAAAGAGAAAAATATAAACAGTCATTAAGAAAAAAAAATTAAGTGTTCAATCATCAGATCTTCTCTTCGTAAAAGGTACACTTTGATATGTTTGTAATTTTTTAGTTTATAATTCTATACGTTGCTAAAAGATTGTAGTGTATAATTTATTAGTTATAGTCATATAGGATTTGTAATTTATAATTTAATATAGATAGTATGAAGATAGAATAATTTTGAATATTACTAATAATCAATTAGTATTTAGCACTGATTGCACTCATTTTTTCCACAATCATGTAGAATGGGTCCAAAGCTTGGTATAGGTTGAGATTTCGGCGATATGGTTGGTGACAATAGAAAGAAAATCAAGTGCAAATTTTTTCATGTAGTTACTACAAGAGGAATAACAAGATTAAAACAACATATCACACATATATCTGGAGAAGTAGAGGCACGTAAAAAGGCTCCGAAAGAAATTTCGGTAATGTTGCGAAAACATCTTCAAGAAAGTAAAACTGCCAGAGAAATAATGAAAAAAATAAAAGAAACAACTATAATGTCCATTAGAGAAGAACGTAGGCACATTCACAACGTCGATACTGAAAGTAGCAGCGAGAATGATTATGAACAAGGTTCCCGATACGCAAATAGAGAATATTTATCACAAATGAGGAAGAAGCAATTACGGAATGCAATGAAAGAAAATCGACAGCAAGCCTTCGATGAAGAGAAGCGTATGCGATACGATGGCGGTATGAACTTTAATATCCTAGTACATTGTTATACTTGTAAAACATGTCAATTAATTAGTATTATTTAATTGTAGGGCATACTGGTGGTACTTCTCGAGGTCAAACATCTGGTATGAAAACATGAATATTCTGTAGGTCTAGCGTAAGAGAAGAACCTAAGAAGTTTTCAAGCGGGGTAGATCATTTCATGTTCCCGTCAAAACAAAAAACTCTCAAACAGTTTTACGCTCCTAAAAAATTCAAAGCAGTTGGTAAGGCCATTTCAAAGTGGTTTTTATTTAATGATATTTCGTTTAATGCTGCTGATAGTGGACCTTATTATCAATCTATGATAAATACTATTGCTGAGGCGGGGACTGAAATTACGGGGGCGTCAAATCGGTAGTACTTATCTAGATGAAGAAGTTTATGAAATTGACGGTTATATATCCACTTTGAAAACAAAATGGCAAGAATATGGTTGTGCAGTTATGTGTGATGGGTGGAGTACAAAAAATAAGCATCTTATTATCAATTTTATGATATATTGTGATCGATCAATGATGTATCATAGTTCTGTGGATTGTACTGATAAAATAAAAAACGCAGATTTTATTTTGCATCTTATAAATAAAGTCATTGATGAGATAAGAGAGCAAAATATTATACAAGTTGTTACAAACACTGAAGCTTCGAACAAAGCTGCTGGGAAAAGGTTGATGCTGGAAAGGCCGCATATATTTTGGTCTCCTTGCGTTGTACATTGCATCGATCTGATGTTGGAAGATATCGGTAAGATGACCAAAATAAAAAGATGCATAGAAAGGCAAAGAAAATTACAAGTTTTATTTACAACAGTGACAAAATTGTAAATCGTATAAAATTGTACACAAAAAATATAGAGTTTTATTCGGAACTGATTGACATTGGGCATTCACAATTTTTTTAGATTTCAATTTTACAATTAAACCTTAATTCTGGAATCTCTTAATCCACCAAGAAAACTGACATGAAATTTCCAAATACCTATACGGAATTAATCAAATTAAGATTAACATAAACCCTAGTTGGGTAACCTTATTTAGAAAACCTTAACTTATTTTTCTTTAATCATCAATGCAAACTTATTAAACGAGAGAAGATAATTCAGAAATTAATCAAACAACAATTTATTAGTTCCACATAATTGTCGGATTAGGACCATAAACGTGATACTTAATTCATGAAACAAAAAAGAAAAAGAAGGAATTTTTTTTTTCCATGAATTGATGAATGGATGAGAATATATCATTCATTAGTGGAATTGATATGAAGCAATCAATTCATTCAAATTGAAATTAGGGTTATAGAAAAACTCTTTAAAAGACAATTGGATTTAGATCAGAATATTTCCCATTTGAGGGGTATTGCATATTCCTCCATAAATATTTATCAATTTTCAAAACATAATATATATATATATATATATATATATATATATATATATATATATATATATATATATATATAATATGGCTTCAAACATGTATTCTTTCGCCTGATTTTTAATGTATTTATTTTCTTCTATATTAAACTAACATTTTCACCCGTGCGATACACGGGATAGTATTTCAAATGAAAATGATGATTAGTTTAATACATAATTATTACAATTATAATAAAATTAATTAGTGACATCGATAACAACATTAAAATTTATACGGATTTAATAATACAAACTCATTACAAAAAAACTATAAAAACTTAATTGTCAATCATTAAATAAATGAAGCATATTTTTTATTAGACTGAAAAATAATAATAATAATTAAAAAAATATAGATGTAGTGGATTATGATTGTGATAGTCGAGATTTGGTGTTAAAATAATTAGAAAAAAAAATAGCTGCAAAATAGGAGATAAAAAAAATTACATATAAATTAATTTATTTTTACAAATATGTCATTAGGATTTCTTATGTTACCCTAGCGTTTCTTGTACCAACAAACCAAATTCCTCGCCCCAAGGCCCCCATTCCTTGGGCTGACAAGTATTTGATTGAGTAATGTAAATCATAGTAACTCAACGGCCCGTTAGGGTAGCGGACCCGGATGAATGTAAATCATGGTAACTCAACGGCCCGTTAGGGTAGCGGACCCGAACTTGGTGCCCACAAGGAACCAACCCTCATTGGAGTTGAAATTCCCACACTGCGACTGCCAGAATTCGATCCTAGAACCTCGTACCAACTTACCATCCCAAAACCAGTTGAACTACACCCATGCAGGCACAAAATATATATTTCTTAAACACTGAACAAAATATATTGCAAACATTCGACATCCTAAAATTATTAATATGTATCATGATAAATTATAATGAATGAAACATAGCTCACATAGTATTAACATAAATATTTATAATGCATTAATAAATGATTTTATAATCCTTACAAAAAGTAATATACTTCTATATTAGACTAGCATTTTCTCCCCGTGCGATGCATGGAATATTATTTCAAAAGTGAAAAATAAAATAATCAATTTAATACATAATAAGAAAATATAGTACACTAACATAATAAAATTTTATAATGTAGTATTATTCATATTTTATGTATCATTAGTTTTTCTAAATCTTACATATGAAGATTTATAATCTAAATATATAGATTTAGATTTAACAAATCGAATTTCTATCTTTATCTCTTAAGTTTTAAGATATATTGATGAAAAATAGGAGATTGATAATTGTTGAAAATTAGTAGAGAAAAAATATTAAAA